TCTTTTCTGACAGAGGTTCTTGCTTTCCATGTGAACAGCTGCCGGAGAAAAGGCTTGGGGATGTCAATGTGCCCACGTGGCTCCATGCAATCCATACTCTAAATCATGCCTCAAGGCACACCTCTCGCACTGCCAATCCTGCCTTGATGCTCCAGAGAGGCTCTGGGACGTTTCAAGCCAGGGGCGAGGGCAGCCCAGGGGCAGAGCTGGACAAGGAAGTGCCCTTTTAATGAAATCCATCCCCCCATGTCCCCCGGCCTGAGCCTGCGTCTCACCTGGAGAGACCCCCTCAAGTGGTGAGGGAGCCCCTCCCGAGAGAAAGCCTTCTCCTCAAGTAAGCCCGGGGAGGGGGATCCTGCTCCTCCCACATCCTGCAGCCCAACTCTACAGAGGGACTGGATTTCTAGACTTCTCCATCTTGCAACATCTTTTTGGGAGGCGTGGATACCAAGTGATGAGAGGAACACAGAAAAGAACCAGAGGAAGAAACAGGAGGTACTCAGGAAAGAATTTGGGTTTTTCTCCCCAGAGGAAATGAGCTCTTTTTGGAGCAGTGGTTCTGCTACTCCTCTGCTACCCCAAGCTGGAGGGGCCAGTTTCTCACCTTGCTGCAGATGAGACTGGAAAGAAGGTGTGGAAGGGAAAGGAGAACAAGGTAGAAGGTAGGCTCCACAACTGTTTTTGACCAGCGGGACTCTTGCATGTTGTTTAGTGAAGGCATTTAGCTTAGTCTCCTTTTAAATCTAGATCCTGATCCTAGGTGTCCATGAAGGGGCACGGCCTTTTGGCGGTTCACTGCGCCTCCTCTACGTTCCCCAGTTCTTTCCTGAGGCTGTGGGCCTCTGGCCTCCCAAGGAGCTTGGCATCAGCAGCTGGGCAGAGCTCATCACAAAAACCGCGGTGCTGACCTATCGTTGGTGATGGTTCGGCGAAGGCGCACACCGCGGCGGATGGCCACCAGCATATCTTCAGCAGGAGGCTCACTGGAAGCAGCCGGGGGGGGATTGGGGGTCTGCTCCTCAGGACCAGGGTCCGAGAACACCGTAGGGAAAGGGAACTGGCCGTCTCCCAGGGCATGAGCGCTGGCCACCAGCTCGCCAATCTTTTCCACGAGGCTGTGACGGTTGGCAGCCAGCTGCTGCTCCTCTTCTGCGGAGGGCTTCCCAGCTCCCGCGAACACCGAGATCTCCAGGACGCTGCTGCCCCAGGTGGTGTTGGGCAGGCTCAGCCTCTTGGGGGAGGCTTTGGCCAAGTCCAGGCTGTGGGGAGAGGAGGCATTGTCGGCATAGAAGACACATTCCTCGCTGCCCATCCGGAGAGGGCCAGCGTGAGCAGGTGAGTCAGGCACAGTGGGGGTCTTGACAGGGACAATGGGTGGCCTGATGGGAATTGGACCAGCGCTGGAAATGGTTCGGCGAACCGTGGGCTTGGTGGAAGGTGTGCGACGGATGGTGGCCACACCTGGCGTGGCCCCAGTTGGCAAGGCAGTGCCAGTGGGCAGGCCGGCAGTTGAAGCTGGTCGCTTGGTCTGGATCATACGCCGATAATTCTGAGCAATGTTGCTGTTACGAGGGATGGTTGAGGATTTGTCTAATTCATTCTGGTTGTCTCCTTCGATGTCGCCATTCACGGAATAGCAGTCGTACTCTGAACCTGAGAAAGTGACACGTAGAAGCATCAGCAGCAGGGGACCAGCAAAGGGTAAAGAGTAAGGAAGAGAACCTGGATAGATCCACTTCCAAAAACATGGCTTCAGCCAAAACAAGGAAGAGACCTGCACAGCCACCTCCCTAATACAAATGAGCATGGTGGGAGGGGGAGTAAAGCAGAGTCAGGCTGTTACTACGGCCAATGTCAATAGACATCGTTTTAGCCTTCTGTGGACTTAATTTCTTGAATTGGTCTACATAGTGGGGCCGACCCAGAGCAGGTGCAGGTCACACGCACGCGCCAGCACAAAGCTGCCCTAGACGCCTGTTGTTATGTAAGACGAGGCACGCCAGGGGCTGCGGCTCAGACTGGCACAAGCAGAAGCCCAGCTGCCTTCGGCTTCTTTCTACTGCTGTGCACAACAGAGCTGGGGCAGTGCATTCAGCCAGCAACCATGGAGCTGCGGAGGACAGGGTGCCCGTGCCGGGCAGTGTGTGGCTCCTGCAAAGGTCCAAGGAAGATCCTGCGTGGGGGACAGCAGGTGCGCCCGGCTCTTGGCCTTCTGGAAGCCCCTTCCCAACTCTGTCCTTCCCGGACCTTCCCACAGCATGAGGGGGTTCCGTGCTCCAGCTGGGAGAGATCTGCCCAACCATGCCCGACGCCGCCATCCTTCCCTTGCCATTACCCACCTAGTCCCAAATCTATCTTCTCCAGCGGCTCTGGGACTCCTGTGGAGCAGCCCTTCCCCTGGGAGGCCCGGCTTCTTCCCCTCCACCCTCTCCGGCACGCCTCCCCCCGCTTGAAGCCAGGGCGTCCTACCTTGGGAGGGAATGGTGTCCTCGGAACAAGACGGGGTGGTGGTCTGCGTGCTGTAGCCACTGGAGAACTGCAGCGAATCCCGGCTGCTCTTCTGGTGCTCCAGGCTCAGGCCGTGGGTCAGCACCATGGCCAAGTCACTGGCAGCTGGGGACACCTCCTCCCCATGCTGGTGGGAAGGGCAAACAAGGTCAAGGCCTGGGAACAAGGCGCCTCATTGCAAAGCATTTGCCAGCCCGAGCAGCAGCACCCCGATGCCTCCAGCTCTTGGAGGGGTGGCAGGGAGCACGTGCTCAGGCTGGCAGGCCTGAGAGACCAGGGCTGGGAATGGACGTGGGCTCCTCCTGCTCCTGCAAGCATGCCAAGGCCGCCTCGCTGCCACAAGAGGGAGGTGGGGCTGGGATCCCCCATGAATCTTCCTCCAGCCCTGAGCACCCTTGCCTGGCAGCGGGGAGGACAGGCTGCAACCAGCAAGGCTGCTGAGGTGGGACAGAGAGCCAGGAAGACAAGCATGTAGGTGTGCCCCCCCATTCCTTGGCTTCTTCCACCCTGACCCACAGGAGCTGTCAGGAACACCTGCCAGCCACCCGGCCTTACCCTTGAAGGACAGCAGGGCCGGGCCCTGAAGCTCCAGACCTGCAGTCCTTCTGGAATTGTTTATTAGCAAACAGGTGCAACTGGGGGGAGCCCTTTGCTCAGCACCTCTTCAACAGAGACTAACTGCCCCTGCCTTGGCTGGCGAGGGAGGGAGAAGCCTTCTCCTTGAAAAATACCTTACTCAGATGCTCATCCCCTGCAACTTCCCTACCTCCTGTTTTGTCTATTGGAGGTGAACAGGTTTTTTTTCCCAAGCACTCCAACACCCAGGAGCAGAATCAGCTCCTGGGCCTCTACACGGTCTGTCCCTGGAATCTGTCAGCAGAGCAAGCAGTGGCGGAAGGCACCTGGGATCAGGGGCTGTGCAGTGACTTGCTCAGGAGCGATTCAGGGCAGTGGCCCAAACAGAGCCCCAACGAGCCCCCCAGACCAGCCAGTGTTGCCGAAGGCCTTTGGACACTGCCCAAGGCTCTGCCTGGCTTGAGGTTAGGCTAAGGCCGCCCACTGCCCGCTGCCTCCACTGCCCCGGCATCCCGGCTATACCTTGGCAGCAATGGAGGCAGGGGACAGGCGAGGCCTGGGCCCATCCTCCACGCTAAGCCCTGGATAAGTCAGGGCGGCAGAGCCTGGTTCTGCCTCGCGGAGAAGCTCTGCACGATCCTTTCTTCGTTGCAGGGTGTTTGCCGCCGGCTGCTCGTAGATGGGGAGCTTGGACCAGTCCTGCAAAATACAAGGGCGGCACCACCGGCAATCCCAGCACTGCCAAAGACAGGGAATGGGGCAAGGGGGAGAGGCAACCGGCAGGCGGGGAATGGGGCTGGGGGAAGGCGAGGAAGGGGCAACCGCCGAACCATCCCGCAACCACCGGGCCCCACAGAGCCTGTCTCTCTCGGCCTGTGGGACACAACCAAGGCACAGAGAGGCCATGCTGGCACCCGTCTGCCTGACAGAAGCCCAAGTGGCCGCACCACCCTGCTGTGCCAGGGCCCCTGGGCAGCCTCTGGAACAGCAGGCTTTTCATTTAGGCATGAGGCAGAGCAAGACACCTTGATGCTTAGGAAAATGCCCTGCGTTTATCTGGCCTTTGCAGGAGGCCTACCAAGATGGCGAGGGGACTGGAAATCACCCCCTCTAAAGAACCCTTAAAGGATCCAATTCCTCTGCAGAGAGGGGGAAGGGGGAATGAGAGCAGCTTCAGAGGTGGGAGCGGACTTGTCCTCTGTTGCCCTAGAAGGTGGGGCCAGAACCAGCGGGACAAACTGCCGAGAAAGAGATGCAGGTTAGATTTTAGGGAGTGGTTTCTTGAGAATAAGAGCTCTCAACTCACGGAGCAAGTTGCCTCACTGGAGGTCTACAGAGCCTGGTAGCTCTCTGTCCAAAGTGCTTTAGCAGAGCCTACACCATGCTGGTATTGGACTAGATGACCTCTGAGGACACTTTTACTCAATGTGCCGACACTGAGGCCAGAGATGCAGTGGAACACGTAGTGGCTGATCTGATAATAAAAGGACATCCAATGTCAAAGTATTTGTTAGCTCCTGCCAGTCTTGACTCCCAAGACTCTACAACTTGACTGCAACCAAGATTCTTCCAGTAAAATGACCTTGGCTCTGTTCCCATGGGATGAGCGGCCTGCCATTTCCTCTGCAGTCAGCAGACTCACCTCCATGAGCTAGCAAGACAGGATCAGGGATGGCGGGGTTGGCTGCCTCTTCCCCCGCTTTTTTCCCCTTTCTCCACAAAGCAATTAAAACATTAGGGAAAAGTCCACAGTGGCACAACTGGAGGTCAGTCCTGCCACGGATCGGCTCAGGGGTGGGGTATCCTACCTGCCCATCTCTATTCATCTTTCACTCCCCCCTGAAAAAGTAATGAGTGGGTGGGTTGAAAACAAAAGCCGCTCTACAGATGGAGGGTCTAGAGAGAGGCTGCTTTCGCTGGGTCCCCCTGGCGAGTTCACATGAAGCAGCTGACTGAGGGGAATCAGTTTGTCCCCGGGCAGATCAGCTCTGTTTGAAGCCAAACTGAATTCCGGCAGGAGCGGCAACAGCCTGATGGGTCCCTCTGCTGGGGGTGGGGGGGCAGGGGGGCAGGGGCAGCATCCCCAGGAGGCCCTTCCCAGCACTGTGGGAAAGATCTGGCCCAGCTGCCCCTGCCGGCGCCGGGCCTGACTCCAAGCAAGCCCCTAAGGCAGGCCTCCTAGATAGCGAAGTCCTGGCTGGGCAGCTCCAGGGCAGCCATCCTTCCCACCAGCTGAGGTCCACAAGGTTTCAGGCTCCTTCCTGCCAACGTCTGGAGGCTTGGAGGTGCTTAGTCTCCAAGACTGCTGAGTCAAGGAAGACGGCTGCTCTAGCCCCAGGAGAGAGGGCCTAGGATCCCCTGCCCAGGGTCTGGGTCTGGGAACTGACCATCCTATTAGGCAGAGCACCCTCCAGCTCCAGTTCATTCAGGTTTCCGCTGAAGAGCAGCAAGAAGCCATGGGTGAAGAAAACCCAGCCCCCTCTGTGACCCCTGTGAGCCCAGTCGACTTTCAGGGAGGAGAAGGCTTTCCGGTCATCGCTGTGTGGAATCCAGGATCGCAGCTGGTCCTCAAGCTGACACCCAGCAATAAAAAACAGAAAGGAAGGCAAAGAAAGCGGAAAGCCATCCACGCCAGCACCGGGGCAGGAGGCCAAGACCGTTCAGCCACTGCCCTAGAGATTCATGGCATGCGTCAACTATTCAGGGGGCGAAGGTGGGGTCCCAGAGTAAGAGGGGAAGGAAAAGCGTGTGTGGGGGGACTCAAGCTTCACCTTTTGGCCACCCGAACACGGTCCTGTGGCAGAGCCAGAACTAACCGAGGTTGGGGAGTTGCATTCGCTAACAGACTGGCAAGCTTCAGAGGCCTCAGACGACGCAGAGCTGGAGGATTTCTGCATACCCGAAGTTGGGTTGGCAGCGGCAGCAGCAAAACAGACGTGCACCGAAAGGAAGAGAAGAACCTGGTTATGGGGGGTCAGGAGGCAGCAGCAGCAGCAGCAGCAGCAGCAGAGCAGCAGCAGAGACCGAGCACAGCTGGACTGGAATGTGGGGTGGCGGTGGCAGCAGCAGCAGCTTCCCTCAACATGCCACCATGGGGCATTCATCAAGGGGGCTAGACTTTCTTGAGGCTGGGAAAGTGACGAAGTAGAAGGGACAAGGTCCAGAGACAAGAGGAAATGCAAATGGCAGGAAGCTGAGAGGATTGGAGACGAACACCACCGCCATGTTTGTGCCCAGGTTCTGTGCAACTCCGCCACACATGAGCTCGCAAAGCATTGACGTATTTCAGAGAAACACAGCCTCTTGTTACCATTTTCACCCACAGAAGCGAATGGGCTGCGCAAGGGCTTCAGCTGGGCTCTTGGTGGGACAAAGGAGGAGGACCATGAAGTCCAATCCTTCCCCAGGCCAGTCTAAGGGGAAGGGAAGCCCCCCCCATTCTGGCCGTAGCCACAGAGGATTCCTGAGAACTGGGTTCTCCCTCCCTCCTCTTGACCTTAAGCTTCCAAACTGTGAGCCTTCACAGCCAGAAGCCCCCCAGGCTGATGCCCTCATGCTAGTGTTGGCTTTAGAGATGTGCTGGAGAACCACAGCTTTAGCCCCTGAAATGGGCAAGGAAACCACAGCTGTCTTACTTGTTCCCTCCTTCCTCCTTCTTGAAGGGGATCACACTCTCAGCACCTCCAGAGTGGGCTCTAGCCTCGACCAGGGGCTCAGTATCCCCCAGCTCCCTCACAGCCCACCTTCTCTCATTTCAAGACCCACTTTAAAAGGAATTGGCTGCATCATTTCCCATGGGGCATAACAGAATCACCACGGCCGCACAGTGAGGCAAATTATTACGCCGGGGCAGCACTCCCTGTACAGGCCAAGAATCCACCTGTTTCCTAAGGGTTGGCAGAGGAAGGGGGAGAAACGTCCATCTCTCCTGTGGAAGGAAGCCTCTAGGCTGCCACCAGCTTCTTTCAGGAGACAGCACGTGTCTGCCTGCGTGCAGATCTGTCAGTAGCGCACCTGGAGCCATAATTCTGTCCTGGACTTCCTTCTTTGCTTTCACGTTTTGCGCAGGGTTTCCACTAAGCTCACCTGACTGGTGATGTCCAAGGGCATTGGTGAAGGAGGCTTGGAGAACATGGCATCCTGCGAGATGAAGCCTGAGTCATGTGACGAGACGCTGGACAGGCGGGTGTTGGCATTTACTGGTTGTGCCAGGCTATGGGAGCAAGATATGAAACCAGGTGAGATGCCGGGTGTCCAGGGAGCCCCAAGGGCTTCCCTATGAAGTGAAGCAGGAGGAGATTGAAAGGTGGCTGCAGGTGTTAGAAAGTCCTTGGGATAAGGTTAGCAATTGAAGGAATAGGCATTTCTAGAAAATTGGTTTATCTTACCAACAGATGAATACTCAGGCCAGGCCAGTCACGGATAGGTGGAGCAAAATGGCACCAGAGGAAAGGCAGGAAAGGACCATCTGGAAGGTGGCACATGCCATCCTTTTAAGTGCGAAGAGTGGTCCTTTAGCATAGAGTCTCACAAGTCTGTCCTCCGTTGGTTTGAATGCAACGTAACTGTTAAGCCCTTATCATCTATCTTTGTTTCTCCTAGTGTTAAACACCCTTCAGAGGACAGCTATGGCACCCCCCCAGCCATGCCTCCTGCCAGGTCCATGTTGCAATTCTTGGTTATCTCTTATGTGTGCAAAACCAGAGTGAGTTTTGAGAGATGTTAAACCTGCCAGTCCAGCCATCTGTCAAAGCTCATCTCCTGAGCCCAACCCTACATTAAGAAGTAGAGGTTTTAGAGGGTTTTCCCAGCAGCCTTTTGGAAGGAGGGGAGGAAACAAAGCTGGGGAAATCCAGCCGTCCCATTCCTTTATGTGCCCTGCCTGTGGTAAATCTGCTGGCACAATGGCTCTGGTAGGATGAGACTGGCGGGAAGCGGGGGAGTGAAGGGCAGGCTGCCATAGCTTTCTGCTGGTTCAGGGACTACTGGTTAGCGCCTTCTCAGCCACGAAGAAGAAGCCTTCAAGAAATTCAGTTTTTCCTCCTCAGCTGGGATCCATAAAATAGACTCTTATGACAGGAGACATATGCTCCAACTTACACAAACGCTCCAACATATTTTCATTCCTTCCTCAGCTAATGGCAGAAGCACCTTCGGAGGTCTATGAAGAGTTTTTGGGTGAGTTCAAGAGCAACAAGTGTAAAAGATTTGAACAGAACTGGCTTTTCCCAGTTGTTTCCAGTTGACAGACCTTACTCCACCATCACAGACAAAAGACAAGGCACCGCACTCTGTTTGACCCGAAGGAGAACACTGCCGCTTCTTGAATTCATTATGCCCTGCACAAGGCCGACGTTGGCCACAATTGCACAGGTCTGGTTCTCCTTGATTTTATCCCAAGACAACTTAGCCTGGGAAGCATTTTGCAGGTCACAAGGACTCAGGCCATCAAGACAAGGTTATTGTTGGGGTATTACTAAACCTACTCAACCCCAATAGGATGAGGAGCCTGCTCCTACTATGCACCACTTAACCATAAACTGGGCATTCTCATTAGCTGAACCAAACATACCTGCACATGCTGGATTTGCGGGATCCTGAGCTGCTGGGGGAGGATGGAGGAGTTTGGTAAGACCAGCTGTAATCAGAGCCCTTCAGATCTTTGATCACCTGCAAGAGAATGTCGCTTTAGCCATGGTCATTACAGCACTTTCTGGGCTAAGAGTTCTTGCAATCCAAGTAGAGCCTGAGAAGCAATGGTCTTTCCAGAGCCAGGAGACGCATTGCATGCCTTTGGCCAATTGATATTCATTCAGGCTGCTGCCAAGATGCCACCAGCTGAACGGCCTGATGCTGAGACAGACCACCAGCTGGTCCAGCCCTCAGCTGCCTTCTTCCCTCTTCAACCATCCCTTGCTTAAACTACTTTTCTTAAAGAAACGGAGGAAGTGTTAAAGCCTGTTATGTACACAAACAGACTTTGGCCTGATTGTCTCTGATGCTCCTATGGAGGCACCAGCATGTCACAACTCCCCTTGAACTGGATGTTGGATAACAAAATCCTCTGGAGGCCTTTTAGGAAAAAATTCCCTCAACAAACAGCTGGCTTAACTCAAGAAAGGGGGAGGAAAAACCTGTCACTGACAGACTGAATGTGGGCTCCCAAGCTGTTCCAAAGCTTTGCCTCACCTGTCACCCAACTTGGGGGTCCCACTTTAAAAAAACATCTGTGCCCTGAAGCTCTTAGTTTCTTTGCTCCCAAGGAAGTGATGCTTGCAGACACTCCCGACTAAAAGCACCTTCAAACAGCAGTCTTGACCTTCTTTCAGACACAGGAACAGCTGTCATATCCCCCTTCAGACATCTCACAGCTAAACCTTTCTCAAAGCTCCTTCAGATTCTCCCCACTAGACTTGGGCATGCTCAGTGTCCTTCCTCGAACCTGTCCCAGTTTCCCCAAATCCTTCCTGAAGCATGGGTGTGCTGCAAGGGGTAGGTCTGAACAAGGAGAATAAAGAGGGACAGGTACTTCCATGGTTTTGAAATTATGCTTCTTTTTTTGCAGCCACCTATTCCGTTTGCAGTCAACTACTATGCTGTGATGCCACTCAATAGTCAAAAGATCAACCGCTGCTTCCCAGACAGGCTTTGGCAAGAGACAGATCTTCTAAACCCCTCCCTTTCTATGCCAAGGCTGGGGAGAGAAGAGGAATCTCTTCAGCCCACGATAAACAGGAAAAGGTTTACAAGAAGCTTGGAAAAAATCCCCAAAGCAAAGTGACGGGATGTAAGCTTCAGGCGTAAATCATCTGAAGCAACAGATAACAAGGGGCCGGTGTAGGCTTTCATGGCTGCTACCTGTTAGGCAGTACCAGGCTTCAGGGTTTAGTGACTGTGGTCTAGACAACAGATCTCCTGACGTTTGGCCGGCACCTGTGGCTGGCATCTTCAGAGGCATGCGTAGTAGACCACCTTGCCTCTG